CGCTTCTTACCCCGCACCCCGATTTACTCTGTTCCGCTTCCCCGCCTCTCCCCCTCCTCTCCTTCTGCATTTAATCCCCCACCCCCATTACAAGACGATCTGGTCGGGGTGGGAATCCGAGATGTGCCCCCTCTTGGCCACCCCCCCGCGGCCGTGCTTTGTGTGTCGGGGTTGGCTGCATCGATCCTCCGTGGAAACCCGCCTTGAGCCAGGGCAGTTCCATTGCGAATTAAGGCCTGAGCCCAGCCTTCCCCTTCCCCCCCGCGCCTTGGTTGTTCCCCTCTTTCCCCTTTGCCGATTGAGCCCCCCACCTCTCGGCTGTTTCCCGGTCCGGAGCAGGGAGGCGGGGGTCCCCTTGAAGTCGGATCCTGTTTCGACCCGTGCGCCTCGCAGCGCGAGTCGCGGCGGTTCCCAGCCAGCGTGGGGCTTTTAAGATGCAATCAGTGAATGAATGACTCCGCGAGACAGGGTGGGGCCGGCGCTTGGGAGCCTGTTGTCACCGACCAGGCGAGTCCTCTGGCCCCTTTACTTCCCGGAATGCTGTATCCTCCCCCCTTTGTTAGTGGGACACTTGCAGTTGGTGGGAACAAATCTGCATTGACTCCGCGGGGTGGTTCGTGTGTACGGAAGAGAACCGGTGTGCGAGAATTCCATGGGCGCCGCGCCCGTGTTGAACTTGGACTAGCTTTTCAGACCCGGAGTTGGTGCTTTCTAGCTGCTGGCTGGTTGCTCATGCAAACAGGAGCGAAAGGGGAATTAGGCACCCAGCTGCTTCTGGGCCTCTCCTAGCTCGGAGGGGGGAAACTGGAGTCAAACCCGGACTCCAGATTCAAGGCCATAGGAACAGAAGCAGCAGGTCTGGTTAGTGGAAAAGGCCCGATTCTGCCCATTGTTCCTAAGAGTCTTTATTTTGGTTGGGCAAAAGGAGACTGGTGCTGGCTTCAGAGGGCTTTTGTTGCCACCAGTGCTTTGTGCCTGTCTTGCCAAACCCTGGTAGGAAAATAAGACAGAGAGTCATTGGAGCTCTCTAATAATTCATCCAGCCTGCTTAACTATGCCCCATGGTGGGATTAAACATTTGGGAAGATGCACAGACCTGGGCGGGTGGCTCAAGAAGGCTACGTCTACACTGCAACATTATTTTGGGATTCCGGAGGATTCCGAAATAGCTATCCTGCATCTTAACAGCAAGCCTGTTATTTCGGGCTGGTATTCCAACATCCCTGTAAACCTCATTCCAGGAGGAGTGAGGGATGTTTCAGAATAGCGAGTTATTTCAAAATTTGGTACCGTCGGCACAAATACAAAATAAGCTATTTCGAAATAAGGTCGAAACACAAATACAAAATAAGCTGTTTCGAAATAAGGTCGAAAAACTATATGCAATTTGCGCAGCTCAAATTGCGTAACTTATTCCGATCTATGGTGCAGTGTAGATGCACCCAAAGAGGGCTCTCATGCTGCTGATGGTATCTTAATCTACGACTACACTGCCAAGCTATTTTGGGAAAATCAGCTATTCCCTGTCTTAAGAGCAAGCCTGTTGTACCAAAATACATATAACGGGCTCTCTGTTTCGACGTCCCTGTGAAGCTCATTGCATGAGGGCAAGGGACATTTCAGAATAGCACCTTATTTTGAAATTAGCTTGAAATAAGCTACACAGTTTGCATAGTGCAAATTGGGTAGCTTATTTTCGAGGTAAGGATGTTGTGTAGATGCACCCCTAGTGGGGACCTTTTAAAGGCACGGATTGATTTTGGCGTGCAATGGAATCTTTTTCGCAGGCTTTCTCTGGTAGAGGGTCCAGGTTAGAAGTCCTGACTTCCAGGGGTGCACAGATGCTGCTCCTTGACTTTATTTGTATTTTATCAGGTCCCTTCTCCCCATTTATTACAAGATCCTTTAGGAACTCAACAGGTTCTTGTGCAGTGTCCCAGTTGAATGAAAGGCCATTTTTTGGGTGCCTGCAGCTATTTCAACAGATCAATTCTTTTGAGGGTTCCCTGACATCTGAATCTCTTTGACTGAGCATGGCGTGATTTGTTTGGGTAGAAGATTTGGAGTAAAAAGATGCAGGTGCTCGTATAGTGGTGGCATAGATTTATTAGAAGAGAGCAAAAATAATGAGTCCCATGGCACCTTAAAGACTAGGGATGCATCTACACAGCCCCCTAAACTCAAAATAAGATACGCAATTTGCGCTGTGCAAATTGCATATCTTATTTCAATTGAATCTTGAAATAGGCTGTTTCAAAATTTGGCACAGCTACACAGTGCCAGATTTGGAAATAACACACTATTTCGAGACATCCCTTATCCCTTGTTACAGGAATGGGGAAATAGCGCACCTGTTATTTCAAAAAATAACGGGCAGCTTGTGAAGACATGGGGTAGCTGCTTCGGGATACCTCCAGTATCCTGAAATAGCCATGCAGTGTAGATGTACTCTCTTGGGCATAAGCTTTCGTGGGCAAACACTCATAGATCAGACACAACACCAGATAAGGTGGGATTCTGCCCATGAAAGCTGATGCCCAGCTAAATCTGTTAAGTTTTTAAGGTACTGAAGGACTCCTTGTTGTTTTTGTAGAGCCAGACTCATACAGCAGGGCACGGCTGATATTAGTAGGGAGAAGGCACGGCTGGTGGCATCTTCCCTGCCTCCGGGGGATGGAGAGCGGAGGCCCCAGGCAAATGACAGGGGGAGGGAGAGGGGGGAGGAGGAGGGAGAAAGGAGTGTTTGAAGAACACATTCCATTTCCATTAGTTAATGAGCTTGACTTGATTTCCCGCTGCTGCTTGTGGAAGGTCATTTATGCTCCCAGAGGACGGAGCTTCTCACCAACGCGGAGCCAATGGGCAGGAAAACCTCTCTCTTGGGCTCTGTGTGGGAAATGAGACACTGGGGCCTGGCTTCTATGACTTCCTCCTGGCTTAAATGCCCAGGCCCAAGGCCTGCTGCCCTTTCTGTGGGGCACTGGTTGGTTCCCCATTTCTGCTTCCTTCCAGAGAACAGGATGCGGGTGCCAACCCCTTTCCCATGGAGTCAGCAGTCCCAGCTTCTTACCTTGGCAGTAGATTCTCTCCTACTCTCTTAATTTCCAAGGCCCCAGGGACACTCCCCTGGATATTCTGGGGTTGCCTAGGATTCTGCCCTCCCAGTTGTGTGATGTTGCCCCCCCCCCCCTCACCGTTTTCTACACCTCC